TCTAGGTAAAGTTCGCTCTGCACAAAGGACAGCTGGACTGACTGCTGGATTCAAACCATTTGTACTGAAAATGTATTCGATCATTGATGGGGCAAGTTGCAAAGAAACTGAATAGCAGAAAACTTACCAAGCAGTTTGAGTGGAACTTGTTCTTGCATTGCCGGCATTTAACCTGAGAATGATGAGATTAACTTAGACCCACAAGGATGATTTGCAACACCAACCTTTGGCAACTGATGGTTCGTTGAATGGATCGTCATCATACATATCGTGCATGCTTCGGCACCTTCCACATCACGATCCACATTCTTTCGCCACATTATTATTCCTTCTACCGTAGAGCCATTCTGAAAATCACAATTGGACCAGTACGATCCAGATGTGGCGGTCCTAACCTGGTGGAATAAGTAGGCTGTCAGCTGAAGCAACCATTTCTTCGCTTTCTCGGATGGTACTATTGCTTTGTCAATTTGTATGGTTGGCACGGACAGAGGCCAGTCAGGTGGCATTACTATGGATAACCGCATTGTAGTCTCTTCTACCATATACTCAGCAACGACTTCTCCCGATACGGGAACTACACGAATCTAAAACAATTGCATCGAAATGAAGGGTTTTCTATGCCATTTGAACCATGAAGACGTGACCCCTACCTTGAGCGACTTGTCGGCTTTCAGGTGGCTTTTGTTGGCCAATTTGACTTTATTGAGCTCGGCTTCTACCAGAAGTTTGCTCACATAGTATCGAACATATCTGAATGTAAATCAAGGTTCAGGGAAAGTCGGAGGAGAGTGTTTCGATATTTTCAGATAGTAGATAGTGGAGGGAGGGGTTAAGCATAAAGTATCATGGATGCAGCAAAAACCTGACCGAAAATTTTTTCGGAAGCTCCCCGAATTTTGCAATCAGTGCAAAATTCGGGGAGCTTCCGAAAAAATCTTCATCTGGGTTCAAACAGAATAATACATACTACAAAAAGGGTGAGCGACAAAGCAAATGGATTTATTTCTTCAGATGAGCGAGAGTTATTGTGACCGCGTAAACACAAGTGGCCCAATGCCTTTTGGACACTCAAAATTTTGTTAAATCTCATCGCGCTATTGAAGATAACATGTACTTACTTGCTGACTATTTGTGTCGCAGCATTCGGCAACCCTGCATACCAATTACGTACTACAGCTGGCAAGGTTCCAAGCGTTCTAAAAAACATTTATGAAGAAACGAACAAAAGGAGGAGAGGCCTACATACCTGTACAGTAGATTCGCAGCATATCTTTCGTATACATCAACAGAGAACGGAAAACATTCCGAGATGAAGTACTCCCTTTCTTTGGATGATGCTAAAACACCATGATATAAACGTGCAGAAGCTCAAAGACGGATCTCATGCGGTAAATCACTGCAAAATTCTAGAAAATAAAGGAAATTGTAACTCACGCAAATCTTCTGGACAACGAGCTAAAATCTGTGGCAATATGGTAGAGACAGCATGTGGCAAGGCATCACAATATGCGACACGTTCTTCATCCGAGGAGATGCTTGCCTACAAAAATCAAGTGGTTTACGGATGTCTTCCAGTGCAAAACAGGATATAAACGGAGTAATGCCGTCTCGTTTTTAGAATCAGTAACTCCCTTTCATGTCAACAAAATTGTTTAACTTGATGAGTTATATCGA